AATTGTTAGTGTTATTTACTTTGCAAAGAGGATACTGAAATTTAGAGAGAGAGAGAGAGAGAGTGCGTGCGTGCGTCGTGTATGTGTGTTTGTGTGTGTGTGTGTGTGTGTGTGTGTGTGAGTGTGTATGAGAGAGAGAGAGAGAGAGAGAGAGAGAACAATCAACACTGGAAAGGCTGAGAAAATGTCTATATCTGACGGTAATGAAATATAATTTTCTCATCAAATATTTTGATAGTATGGGGAAAGAGACATGTGCTCATTAAAGTTTAATGACTGTCTCTTCCTGCCTTTTTCCTTAATGGGATCACATTCTGACTCATGCATGGTGGGTGCTGGGAATAGTTGATTGGGAGCACAATTTAGCCCAATCCCAATCTTTGTTGCCCCAGAGACAAATAAAATCCAAGACTGGGTTCATTGGATGTAGGGACACATAGCCACTAGCCCGCTTGGGTTGACAATGACTTGGATTTAGACAGGGGGGCCCAATATTTTCCAGGATGACCTAGATTTGTTCTGTAAAGAGAATGATGTAAGAACAACTGGAAACTAGCTGTCTGGTCACTACAGTTCCAAAGCTGAGCCAGGGGCGCCCTAAAGAAGACAGCACTATAGGCAAAGGCTTTGAAGAGAAAATAAGGAGAAATGAGGCTCTGATGGCAGAGCTGACGGTCATGTTGCATTCCTACTCCAGAATCTTCACTGAAGCCTCTTTGTCCACAGAGTCAATGACAAAGCTCTAATCTAAAAACTGTAGCCTCCCCTCTCAATGGCACCAAGCTGCCTCTCTCAGGTTATCTTTACTTGTCTCCTGCTCCCAGCCTCCATTCCAGCCAAGACAAGCTTCCTGGGCCTCCTCATGCCACGGTCTACCTCCCCCCAGCCCTTGCTGATGCTGTATTCTATTCTGGTATCTGGAATGTTCTCTCCATCCATTTCTACTGGTTAACTGTTATCCATTCATTGGGGATCAGCTATCGTTCTACAGCCTTCACGTGTGATACTTTACTCAGGCTTGTGTGATCGCTTCTTCCTTGAACACAAAACCCGTTGTGGAGGCAATTGCCATCTTCTGCTTTCTGTGAAAGTTCCATTGTGAGGGCAACCTAGTCTAGTGGCCACCTGCACAAACTTCTAAGACAGGAAGACTGGGTTAGAAGCGTTGCTCCTTCCTCAGGAAGCATGTGATCCTAGACAGGTTACTTATGAGCACAATAATGGCAATTATAGAAACAACCAACATATACTTGGTGTTCACTGTGACTTGGGCATCAGACACTCATTGACACATTAAATACAAAAACGCTAGAAGGAGAGTTACCATTCCCTTCATCTTACAGATGAGAAAATAGAAGCTAAGAGAGGTTGAGTGAGCCATCCAGGGTTGCATAGCTATGTTGAGAAAACAGGTCTTGAACTAGGATAGCTTGGTTCCAGAGCCTACGTTTTGACCACTATGCTACAAGGCACTACCCTTTCTGGACCTCTCAGTTTTCTCATCTGTAAAATAGGAATTATAGCAACATTCCCACCCCTGCAGGATGGTGATGAGGATTAAATAATACCACACGAGGGATGTGTTTAATAATGCTATGCTTACTAAACCACAGCTTCTGTCACTGTGATTTCTGGGTGCTGGTCTCACTCCCTCCTCTCACCTGTGAGTTGAGCGGGGAGGTCATGTTCTCTCTTTGCCTCGTCTTGCTTCACCTTGTGCCTAGGACGTTCTCTGCAGAAACGTCGAGGCTCAGGCAGCTGGGCCTCCCCCCACCCCAACCTGACATGAGCAGAAGACAGAATTTCCATCTCTCTGGACTCCAGGCCCTGTCAAATGGCTCCACCTCTAAATAAGTTTCCTCCAGGAACTGCATCCCTGAGCACAGCCTAGAATCTGGGGACATGACACATGTCATAGGTAGTTCTGGACCTCTGAGCCATTGTGGTTTTGTGTTTTCACTGCCTTCTCCAAAACCTGTGTGTAAAATTTATCTGGGTCTTCTCCCTGAGGCCTTTCAACTTAGTGTTTTCTCAGAGCTTCCTCCTCCTCTCTCCTCCTTTCTCCCCTTCTTCTTCCCCTTCCCATCCCCCTCCTTTTCTCCTCCCTTCTGTTCTCACCTCTCCTCTCTTCTCCATTGACCCTCCTTTCTCCTCCTCTCCTCTTCTCCTTCCTACCTCTCTTCCCTTTCTCCCCTCCTCTCTTCCCTCCATTTCCTCCCCTTCTCTCTTCTCCTACCCTCCCTCCTCTTCCCCTCCCATCCCCCTTCCTCTTCTCCCTTTCCCTCCATTTTCCCCCTCCTCTCTCCTCTCCCACCCCTTTTCTCTCCACCTTCTATCCCTCCTCCTTTTCTCCCCTCTCCTCTCCCCTCCATTTCCTCCCCTTCTCTTCTCTCCTACCCCTCCTCTTTTCTTCCACTCCCCATCCTCCCTTCTTTTTCCTCCCCCTTCCTTTTCTCCTCTCTTCTCTTCTCCTTTTCTCTTTTCTCCATTCTAGGAGGCGAAACAGTACCCCAGATCCCCAGGCCACTGACCTGAGTTTCTGGACTCAGGGCCTCCCACAGCTCCGTGACACCTGGTGGCTTTTTGGTGTGAGGGGCTTTACCCAGGAACACCTCTTCCCCTGTTTGTATTTGGTTTGTCCTTGGAGTTAGTGAGGTTATTGGTTAAGGGACAGTTTACAGGACAATGCCTTGTACCATCTTTCTGAACAATCTTGGCATGGAAAGAAGCCAGAATTTCCATCTCTCTGGACTTGAGTCCCCATTAAAGGGCCCCACCTCTAAATAAGTTTCCTCCACTAACTGCATCCTTGATTCCTTGAAACAAACACAAAACAAAACAACTCTCTATTTAAAATACACCCTTCCTCTTAGGTCTGCTGACTTGTGGGATAAGGTATTTCTGATTCTTCCTTGGGGAATTAAACTGCTTTTTAAGTAAACCCAGAAGATAACTAACAAATAATTCTTCAAATTAATAATGCCTAAAAGATGAAAGTTATCAGTTTCTTTCACACATCCAGTTTATTATCAGTGGTGCAATTAAATTCTATTTTCTGCTGTGGTTTGAGCCGTTCACAGCTTGGGAAGGCTCTCCCCTGAGATCTCTGCAGGGACAGGCCATCGCTTCATAATTAAGTAAGCACATAGGCCTTGCCTCTGGTGTGGAAGGTTCAGGACTGAGCTCACGAATGAACCCTACCCCACTGCCCTTCGAGGATGGCAGGAGCTGCCTGTACCGTGCAGCTAGAGGAGGCTCACAGGCAGCTGGCCCGTGTCTCTAGGGAGAGCCAGTAGGGAAGAGCAACCTTCCTGGACAGGGCATCCTGTGCTTTATGCTGTTGACTTCACATTCTTATGGGATGACAGTGCCTCTGGGGCAACCACAGTCCCCACTTCTCTGTTTTGCATTTGCTTCTGATTCCGCCTGCAAACCATGCGCATCCTCGTTTTCATTCTGTCCATTAAGGCTTCCTGGGTAGACAGTGCCATGATAGGTCTGTGAGTGGTAACAGAAGTGAAAGAACCAAAGAGATGTGATGATGTGGGCCTTTCTAGAAATGAAGGACCTGGCATTCCGTTCCTCAGTGGGCACTGCATTGGCTGTGAGGTTGGGTGGCTCATTTGGTCATCACACAGGACTAGACCATAAGAAACAGTGAAATGAACTGGGTTCCAGCCCTGCCTCTGCAGCCAGATGGCAGGCGTTGGAGGCCCAGCTCCACCACTTGTTGGCTGTGTGATCTTGGCTGAGTTATGTGACCTCTCTGTTACTTATCTTTCCTCATCTGTAAAGTGATGCTTGCACTCCCTACCTCGTGGGGTTGCTGAGGATTGAAAACACAGCTATGTATGTAACATGCTTTAATAAGTGTCTGAAATCCAGTGGGTACCTAAGGAAAACTGCTGTTCTCAGTGCTACACAGGTGATTAGCTTTACAAATGACTCATGGCAAATGATTAATGAGTAACAAGGCCTACCCTCATCCCACCCACCTGTAAGACCACTCAAAATATGATGAACTTTATGAAGCTTTGATTTATCTATCACTTTAGAATAATGCAGCTTAGCAAGATCTGTGCTAATCACTCTTAATCACTTTATGAAGAGTGTTCTCCAGAGACTAGGGAAGGGTTCTAAGTCCTGGAGAAGGGCTGGCATACGATGTCACTTTCCAGCGTCCCTGCCGGAGGCCTAAGTTCCTGCTTCCAGGGCTGGAAGGTCAGGGATGCAGTCTCAGATGCCACCAGAAGCTACAGCCGTGGGCCTGAAAAGTAGGAACACAAAGGCTCCCATCCACTCTCAGCCTGTCTCTGCCAAATCCTGTGAGCCATTTGGACATACATTTCTGGTGGAAATTGGAGAGGCACCATTAAAATTACTGACCAAATAGGCAAAATGAGCCTAAAGTGGTTAGAGTCAGAAAAGTGGTTATCTTGATGATGAACAAGAGGGTTATTGACTGGAAAAGGCATGAGGGAACTTTCTGGGGGTGTTGGAAGCTCTCTATTTCCTCATCTGGCTGGTGGTTGCAAGGTATGCACATATACACAAGTTATCATCAAGCTGTCCATTTTGATTTTTGCATCTTAATGTCTGCAATTACACCTCAGTGAACAAGATTATGCCTCAAGTGATGCAGGCAGTTTATCTATCTTATGGCATGTTGAACCCACTTTATTCTGGAGACCTTGAAAGTTCTAAGTATCTGCTGCCATTACACATCTTCATCTTCCTCCACAAGTGTGTTTATACCCATAGGTTATATTTATATATACAGCTATGTCTATATATTTAAATCTGGAGAGAAGAGTATTATGTGTACATGTCTATATATAGGGTGGTTTACTTCTTTCAAAGAACAGGAGGATCCTTACACCATTGTTATTATTTTTTGGAGCAGGACATTCGCGCGCACACACACACACACACACACTCACACACACACACAAAGACTAGATGCCTTTCTCCTTTGTTTGAGATGAGACACTAAGACCAACCTTGATGATGACCTTAGGGATCGTCAGCACAGTGGACTTCTGCTTGGCTAGGACATCGTTGGTCTCATTGATGCGAGCTGTGACAAAGAAGTGCAGGGATGCCTGTTCCAATAGCTGGCCCATGTATTCCCCGGCTCGGATCACCACCTCCTCTTTCTTGACTGGCAGGAGGAAAGACAAATAGGCCCTATGTCAAGACCTGAGATGGGATCTGCTTGACTTTTCCCCAAGCTACCCATCCTTCCCACACTTGCACACAGCAACGGTGAGGGGTCAATGGAACAGAGAGTCAATCGGAGACCAGCACTCCTGCTTCTTAGGTAAATAGTGTGCTGGAAATTTAATTTTCAGTGAAGTCTTTCTATAGAAATGGTGTCACACTTTCCAAACAGTGTTCTGCGGTTGTAAAATAAATGCCACGGCAAAGATGTTTAAAATGGAGGAACAAGGAGTTTTTAACAGTGGCTTTAATTTGGGCAATGATGATCCCAATATGGCACACGTAGAGTCCAAGGTCACTGTCCACATACGGTCCCCTTGATAAATAACAAATGTCTCACCCAAGTCCAAGGCTACTGTCCCACGTAAATAAAAGATGTCTCACCCAGACCATGGGTCGCACTTGAGCAAAACTCTCAATGACCTAAACCTTGTCTTTGTAGAGTACTATATTTTCTTTCCAGCTTTTCCTGTAACCAATCTGGCATTGGATTTTTCTATTTTGGAGAAAGAAGCTGTTGAAACTTGTTTCCACCAATTGCATTCAGCTACCTTCAAGACCCTCCCCTATTTTTAATTAGAAGACCTCTGTGCCAAAGGCATATTTCCTCCAGCCACTGATGTTAGCTTTTAGCTCCTGGAGAAAAGTCAGATATGGCATTTGGAGGATGGGTAGTGGTCCTCACTCCCCTCCAATCACCACCTGGGCTGAGGATGGTGAGTTCTATCTTGCGGCTCAGGCACACTTTATGACTACAATTTCCCACAGCCTAGAGAACATCGGGCAGGTCTTCTCTAGGCTGAGTCCAGGTGGTACCTGCTGCTACCTGGTTGGAGCCAGGTGCCTGTGTGTACTGATAGCTGACAGGCCCAGCAGGTGAATGAGTGACTCACACCTCTATCCCCACCCACAGTGAACAGACTCCCAGACCATTCACAGAACTGAGCATCTCCATGACTTTCCTCCCCAGTGGCTTTTGGCAAAGATTTCTTCTTCCTGTGGAAGTTATTGAAGGAAATACTTCCCGTGACTGGTTGTTTAAGTGCAGAGGGCAGTTCATTTTACCCCTGTATTGAGCAGCAGTTTTGTAAGGAGGGAGGAATGCTGCCTGTGGATGAACCAGCTCCAGGGCAGAAGGAAGGGCTCCTGACTCACCTCTGGCTGAAAGGTGAGGGCACCTGGAACCGTGCTTATTATTTCACACCTGGACTCTACCTGCTGCCTCTTGTCTTGGGCCCTGAAGACCAAGAGGCTGGAGAGTCTTCTGACTTGGACAGCACCTAACCTTGGAAGCCTCTTTACAGGTATGCAGGTGTTGTGCCTGTGTCTAGGCTTCTGATGGAAAAGTTCTCAGTCTTGGTTCCACATTGCTATCAACTGGGACCTTTAAAAATCTGCCATGCTGGGTCCCACCCCAGGTCAATTAAATCAGAGCATTGGCGGTTGGGGCCCAGACACCAGTGTTTTATCAAAGTCCCATAGCTGACCCTGAGATACAACTAAGGCTGAGAGGGCCCACTTCCACAACTAGGGGGATCTCCTCAGAATCAACCCTGTAAGAAACCTTGATTTCAGTGGAAGGCATGGCCCTTCTAATGGAGGCCCTTGCTGCTGTGCCCGTGGTCTGCTTTGCGGTCTGGGGGTTTGTTAGAAATGCAGGTTCTTCAACCCCAGTCTACACCACTGAATCAGGATCTGCATTTGAATATGGTCCCAGAGAATGCCTGTTCAAGTGTGAGATGTTCTGAGAGACTGGAGGTTCTAATAGCAGAATGGGATGGAGTTAGGGCAGAGTTAGGATGAATTTAGTATGGTCTGTGTTTTAAAGTTGAAAGTTCTACATTTGGGAACCCCACCAACCCCTGGCAAACTGGAAAGGTTGGTCATTCTAGACTAGGTCATTGTCAATGGGAATTTTGTCTCCCAGGGGACATTTAGCAATGCCTGGAGACCTTTTTGATTGTCACAACTGGGGTGGAGGGTGGGTTACTGCTAACATCTGGTAGTTAGAGGCCAGAGATGCTGCTAAACATCCCACAATGCACAGTAAAAGTCCCCACAACAAAGAAGTATCCACCTCAATAGGTCAATGGTACTGAGACTGAGAAACACTGTCCTAGGCCATGCAGATTATTAGAATGTATTGGTTCATCCTGGACAAGTGCTAAACAACTAGCTTGGTTGACTTGATTCCTGGAGAGCTCCTATTCCATTTAGAGCTGGCTCCTGAATTCTGCCTTTTTGAATGGTCCACTCACAGTGCCTTCTTTGGACCTGATCTTGGACCCTGCTTCCTGCATGGCTCCCCTTGCAATTAATTGTCCAGATGAGTGAGGCTCTGGTCTTCCATTGGACACAGCCTCCGATGAGCACATGTGGCTAGTTTTTCATGTCTCCAGATCTGAATGAATGGAGTGGTAAAGCTACAGGCCTGGAGAACATGCATTTTGCCTCTTGCTGCCACTGGTAATATTTTTTTTAAATGGACTTCCTGTGGTTATTTTTAACCACTGGCTTTCTTTGGGTAAATGGGATATACCTGGCTCCTTTACTTGCTACCTTTGTAATCTCAGCATAAGGACCCCTTTCTTGTCTGAGGTAGAATGTTCCCTAAATCATAGCACTAAAGAAAGCAGGCTGTGCTTCAGAGCCCAAGAGAACAGTGCTCCTGAAATAGTACGTTATGTAAGTGCTGTATTTTGCCACTGCACAGAAATTGTTCTAGATAAAGTTTATTAAACGTGGCAAGAGAAGGAGGAATAGATTTTCCCTCTATGAGCGGTGGGGCTGGGATGCTGCCAATATCGTTTACGGTGTCTGGGGAAAGCCAAGGGAGGCAGACTGAAGCTGCCTCATCTCTTTTCCAAAAAGCAAAGAAAACTAAATATAGCCAAGTGGAAATGAAGGTACTGGGAGGTTTAAGTTATTCAGAGCTTCCAAGCTGATTCTAGCACACACATTCCCTTTCATCATCAATCTGGAAGGTACGCCTCCCCTTTCTACTTGGAAAACTTTCTTTGCAGTAGAGGCATCTAAGAATGCTTGATCAAGGTTTAAAATTATGTGACTTTTTGCAATATATGGCAATTTATTTTAGATTGCAATATGCAACTTAGATTGCAATATGCAACTTATTGCATGTAGTTGATGCCACCTGCCTGCGGGGCAAAGGAACAAAGAGTCTCTAGTTCTCTTCAAGTTATTCAGGACAAGCCCTGGGGTTGGCCGAGTGGGTGGGAGCTGTGTTCCTACTGACTCAGGCGTGGGTTTGGTCAGCTGTCCCTAGATCAATGACTGAGAGGATGATACAGCATTCCAGTCTGGCCCACTCACTCATACAAACTCACTCTTTTACTGGATTAAAGGGAGAATGAGAAGGAGAGTGAGCAATATGACTTGTGAAAAGGGCTGGTGCTTAGTTTCCTGTCTAAGGATCTGTGCTGGTCTCCAGGTAATGGGGACAGGAGCAAGGGAACTGGCCCACTTGGGGCCAAGTTTATACAAAATGACTAACTGTCATTGCCTGGATGGGTCTACTTTGCCTCTAATTGCTGTGTGTGGCCTTGAATACATCAACTCATCTTTTCTGCCTTAGTTTCCCCAAATGTAGACTTGTTGGAAGTTACCATTTTCTGAGAGCCTACCATCTGCAAAACATTTCATATACACGATCTCATTTGATTTCCTCCACTCTCCTTCTCTCATACCATATAGCCAACTCATCAGTCAATCAGGTGGGCTCTACCTTCAGAACATACCCAGATCTGATGAGTTCTCAGTGCTTCCATCACTACCGCCATCATCTATCTCTCAGCTGCATGATTGCAAAAGCATCCCAATTTGTCTCTCAACTTCAGGCCCACTTCTCCTTTTGTCTCTCTCAACACAGCAGCCAGAGTGATCTTTCAAAATCTAAGTTAGATCATGTCACACTTCTGCTGAAAAACCTCCACTGGTTCCTCAGCTCACTCAAAATAAATGACAAAGTTCTTACAAAAACCTACATTGTTGCACCCATCACTTTCCCCCTTGTCTCATTTACTCCCATTTCTGGCCCATGCTGCTCACTGAGCACATAAGAAATGCTCTGGTCCCAAGGCCTTGGCACATATGGTTTCTTCTGGGTGGAATGCTCACTCCTGCCCTTCTGTCTGGCCTCTGTTAAATGCTACCCTATTAGAGAGGTTTTCCCTGAACACCCTATCCCCACTAACACTCTCTGTCTCCCTTAACCTGCTTTATATTTTTCTGTTACTTACATGACCACACTGCATATTCCCTTGTTTGATTGCTTATTGACTGGTTCCCCCATGGACCAGAAACTCCATAAAAAGACAGAGGTAAACTCCATAAAAAGGTCTCCAGCAAAAGACAGAGCTGGACTTGCAAGCACTAGATTTGGGGAACTGGACCAACAATCCTGTGGTGTGGGCGGTAGTGTTCCCATTTACTGATATTGCTCAAGTAACTCATATTGCTCGAGTGACTTGCTCAGGGACACAAAGCTAGAGGGTGACACAGACGTCCCTTATGTCCAGAGTTGTCTAACTGCAAGAATCAGACTTTCTGAAATCGGATGTGGCTACCTGTTCTAAATGACTGTGAATATTGTCCTTTTTTAGTACTTTACACTAACTATCCCTTTCTATGAGAATTGCCTCCCCTAGCCCTAGAGATAGGACAAGTATTTAATCTTCCAGTTTCCAAAAAAGAATATTATGGAGCTTTCTTAATTGTTAGCTAAGTTACTGAAGCTAGGGAGATTTGCTGCCTTCAGGTTTGAGTAGGTTTCTTTGAATTAGGATTTTTAGGATAGTGTCCCATTTTTCCAGGAATATTTTCTGCAGCCTCACCAAGAGTACTGTGGCTGTGATGGTCACTGAATGCAGAGAGCTTGAAAACCATCAAGGCATGGGGTTCAGTCATCCCAGTGGGGCATACTAGGCTTGCTTGCCTCCCCTTTGTAAAAATTACTGTTTGTGTATAATTTTTTGTTTCTTTTTCAGTCCCACATGTCGGGTAGGGCAAAATTGGTACCTTGTAGAGTCCAGGGTCATTTTCATCCTGCTCTATCTAACTTGCCACGCCCTGCCTGGAGTTTGGTTTCTCTGGTTGACTCATTTTGCCAGTTGTGTGGCCAACTCCTGAGCCCACCCAATACCAGCCTTTCAAGAATTGAGGCAGGTCAAAACTGCAATCCTTAATGCAGGCTGAAGCGTGCTGAGCTCAACCTATTTAAAATATTGGGGATTTTTGTAGTGATAAATGCTTGGAAGGACGTGTACACGGATGCCCTATGAAAGATGACCAAGAGACTGAAGCCCTCCATGAACTGGGGACAGCACTTCTTGTGCCTCCAGTCCCTCTCCCAGTGATGGGCACTCTTCCTAGAATAAGACAGAGCGTTTTTAAGAAACAGCCTGAAGGCAGATCTTAGACCTTCCTGCCTTATAAACGGGAAAGCAAAGCACATCATTCTTTATGGGCAGCCCCCAAAAGATTTTCCTGGCTCGGGAGAGAGATGCCACCAGAGGGCCTGTTTTCTGAGACGGGTCGTTTATGTGTGCTTCACAAACTCTCTTGTTCATGCTAATTCCCTTGGAACCTTGTCAGGTTGCAGATTTTGATTCAGGAGGTCTAGGGTGTGAGATTCTGCATCTCTAACAAACTCGTGGGGAGGCTGGTGTTGTTGGTCCATCGACCACACTTTGAGTAGCAAGAAGTTTCATTTCATTCTCATGACTCATGGGGCTCTAGGTTTGAAAATGTTGGTGTTCACTTCCAAGCATGAGCTGTGAAGATGAAAGTGGAGGTTTTTCTGGATACGTGGGTTCTCGTGAACTCTGGGGGAGAGCTTTAACTTAGAACCTATTAGAGGTTGTTATCACCTAGTGAGACAGGGAGTCAGGTAATAAGCCCTGGAGGGAACCACATTCTTGTTAGCTTACAGGACAAAGGCTCCAGCTTCATATTGAATGTCTCATTCTTGAATTCAGCCTTTGAGACCCCAGTGTAGAAGGTGATGTTGCCCGAGAGATAGGCTGAGATGGTGTAATGGTTGGGGCTGTTGTTCTGGAAGGTGATGGTGACCTTGAAGTCTTTTCCCAGCACGGCTTTTTCTACTTCAAAGTCCATGTCAACGTTGGACCTCGATTTGATGACACCTTCTGTGTTGAGGGGTTTTTTAGCTCCATACATCAGGGCAGTTTCTAGGGCCAATCTCTCTTCTTCTTGACCTAGGAGAGACCCAGAGATAATGATAGGAAGAAATGAATGCAATCCACCGAAGAGAAAGTCACATTAGTGGACTCACTGCATGTGGTACTTGTTGGATCATCAATATAAGCCTCACAACCTCCCTGGGAGGCAGGGACCATCATGATTTCTGCTATAAATTCTGGAAAATCAGGTTCCCAGAGAGTTAGTGACCTGCTGAGTCTAGAGGTAGCAGGGTCAGGGCTTCTCTGGAAAGCTCTAAGGGTTGTTTCTTCGATGCCACTGTTTCAGAGTTTGGCAGGTCAAACTGGTAAAATCTAACCTTCTCAAACTATGGGGTCCATTTGCTTTCCTCCCTGAATCCTAGACATATGGCTAGAATTTGGGGACCTCTAAGCAAGAATTTTGGAAATAATTGCCTCTTGCCATTCCACTTCCTGCAATATGAGTTCTCTCTAATTTGTGGGCTCCCCAGCAAGACTTCTCCTCCCCTTCTTGCCTTCCACTTGGGCCTGTCCCATCTGCTCTTTGCTGAACTGACCCTGGGTGGCTCCTGCCCTGTTCTTCCCTACCTTCCTTGGTTTCCATTCCCAACCCACCCCCAGCAGAATGCAGAGATTGCTTTTTTCCAAACCATGCACTGCTCCCCCACAACCCCTCAGGACGCCAGGCTCTGACAAGACATTAAAAAGCTGTCCCTGCCCAAGTGCTCTCAGGGCAGATGCCCTGGAGGAGCACTGAGATGTCAAGAGCTCCGGGTGTTCCCCACCTTCACTTGCCAGTTAGAGGTCTGAGATAAAGCCTGACAACAGGGAGGCCTGCCTGTGTTTCTTTAACAAAAGGTCTCCCACACTCATCCGATAATGCAGTTTTCTGAGGAGCACCTACTGGTATGTGGTGGTGCACCAGAGTTCTAATGTGATTTGGGGTGTGTGTGCTGTTTTGAGGAAAATGTCTTGTGTAAGGTTTCCAAGGTGGTTGTGGTGGAGATGAAGTGGCGGGGGGTGGGGGGAGGAGAAAGGGTGAGCTCTGGAAGAAGAAAAAAATAACTTTTTTTTTTTTTTGAGTTAGAGTCTCACGCTGTTGCCCAGGCTGGAGTGCAGTGGCAGGCTCACAGCTACTCCAGTGATGATCTGCTGGGCTCTGGTGATTGTTCCACCTCAGCCTTCCAAGTAGCTGGAACTATAGGCATGTGGTCCCACACCTGGCTAATTTTTTTCAGTTTTATTTATTTATTTTTTATTGTAGAGGTGAGGGCTCGCCAAGTCGCCCAGGTTGGTCTCGAACCCCCAGGCTCAGGCAACCACTCGCCTTGGTCTCCCAAAGTGCTGGGATTACAGGCTGAGCCCCCGAGCCCAACCAAAAATGTTTTTTATGTAGGCAAGAAAGTGAGAGATACAGACACAAGTCAGGCCTGGACGGAGCTTGTGCCTCAGATGTTGACAGGCAGGGATGACGGTCCTTATGGAGATTTGGACAAGATGCTTGGCCTTGGAGACAGGGCTTATGGAGGTATAGAGGAATGGTTGCCATGCCCTTTTCCATTCTAAACACCTTTGGGCTTATCTTTGTGCATCGTGGAGGGCAGAGATGAAAAGAGGAGGCAGATTCTCTGGGTTGTAAAAAGTAGTCATAAGAATAGCTAGTGAAAAAACCTTTTAAAATAAGAATGCTGGCTTTTGTAATTATGTTAAGAAATTGTCTTCTATTTTATGTAGCTAATAACTAAACACAATGGTGACTAAGAGGCCAATTAATCATAACTATCACTGAGTGCTAGCTATGTGCCAAGCATGGGGTTAAGTGCTTATTGTACCTTATCTCATTTAATCCTCATGACAACTACACAAGGCAGGCACTGTTATTACCATCAATCTCCTCGTTTGTAAAATAAGGATGCCTACATTCTAGTGTTGCTAGATGGATTAGAGGTAGTAGATGCATACCAAACAGAAACTGTGCTGTAAAGATGGAGGAAATACAGCAGGTATTGCATACAAAATGTGTAAGTGTGTGTGTGTGTGTGTGTGTGTGTGTGTGTGTGTGAATAATAGCCCTGATTGTCAAGACTGCAAGAATGTGCCAGGAACAACTGATCAAGGACAAGCATTGGCTACAGCACGAGTTTGCAGATCAATAGGAAGGAGATAATAAAGGAAGGGAGGAGTGAAGAAAAGCATGGCACAGTGAAATATTTTAGCAGAAATCATCGGGCACATAGGTCCGTGAGGAGGGCATTAAGGATTATTACTTTGGATGGGGACCAAAGGTGCATGTAGGTAAAAGGCAGGAGGCAAACACGAGCAGCGGGAACACTATCAGAGAGGTGCTGCCTTGGGGAGGGGAGCTGAGGTGGCCCAGGTGAGACCAGGGGAAAGGAGGCCAGCTGTGAGCAGCTTTATAGCATGTTGTAGGGGGAGGACCTGAAGCTTCCTTCTGGGGAAGCTCCAGCCTGTGAGGGAGACCTCTAGGCACAGGGACTGGCAGGCTGGGGCTGTTCCAGGAAGCACAGGCCCAGGGAGGAGGAGAGAACTGCGGGCTTTCCCAGAGCCTGGCTGAGTTGTTCCTGCTTCTCTGCAGTTAAGCTCTGTGCTCTGGCGTCTTACATAATTCAGGGCCACGGGCAACATTCGAGTGCTAGGAGGGATTTATCCAAAGCCAGATTATATTTCTGAGATGCTGCTGTAGCCTCCAGGTGCAAAGTCGAAAACATCTTTCTATTAACTAGTATGTAATAAGAGAACACCTTTATGTTAGATGAAGCCTCTTCTCACTGTTCTGGCCTTAGCTCTACTGTCACCTCCTCAGACCCCTCTTCATCTGTAATGTGCCCCAACCCTGGTCCTCCCATCTCTTCCTAACAAATATTTCACTTTTGTTTCTCTTCTTTGCCACGGTACTGGTCACTGTGTGACATCATCTCCCCTGCTGGAATGCAAGTGTCATGAGAGCAGGGACATAGTCTGTCTTGTCCACCTCTGTGTCCCCAAGACCTGGAGCCTGGCCTGGCAAGTTTAGAGAAGCACTTTGCTTTCAGCCAGAGACAAAACTTTCAACTTTATAATAGACATGAAATAGTCCGGTTAAGGACACTGTATGCGCAATAAAGTCCACCTATGAAAATGCCTCTTCAGTGACCATTCATGTGGTCATTTCGTGCTATTGAGTCTCTGTAATTCCAGGCACTATGTGGTGCTAGGCACAGATGAGACTCACAGCCTTTCCCTCACAGGCAGAAGGAACAAGTGAAGAATGGCTACCACAGAGCTGATCGCAGAGGTAGAGACAGAGGTTGCCCTACGATACAGGGAACACGATGGTACAGGAGAGGCTTCTTGAGTGGTTTTTGCTATACAGTAAGGGCAGAGCCAGGGAGGCGGGTAAGAGCTTGGCATGTTGCAAGAACTGTCAGCTGTTCACCTCACTGTGGTGGATGGTGCCTATGGGACACAGTCAGGAGATGCAGTGAGGGAGCCAAGGAGCCAACTACCAAGAGGCTTTGTGAATGAGGCTTGGGATGCCCTGAAGTCAGCAGGGAATGAGCGAGGGTTTTTAAGCAGTGCTGTAACAGGTCCAGGTTTATCTTTCAGATGATCTCACTTTGGCAGCAAGGCAGGGTTAGACTGAGAGAAGGAGGGGATGAGGAGGTGAGGTGGACTTGGGAAGCTAGAGCAGGTATTTTTCCAGAAGGAGAATAACCACAGCCTCAACTCATAGGAGGAGTAAGATACTAATCATGGAATTACTAATCATAGGAGAAACTAACTTCACTGGACACTTATTGTGTATCAGACACTATACTAAGGGTTTTACACACCAGACCATGTTTAATTTTCAGAGTGTGGCCATAGATAGAGGGGAGGGGAAGCATTTGAGAACTATTTCAGAGGGGACATTTAAAGAATTTGTTGCCTGACTGTTTCTCAAGTTGCTAAATTTGTGTGGTTGGTGTTGTTTTTTTTTTTCACTAGAGTCAGGAGCACAGGAGAAATAGATCTGAGATGGGGGAGGGATTAGCATTTGGGAAGCTCCATTTCAGGTTCCTGTGGGATATTCAGGTAAAGTCTGTGCAGAGTCACACACTTGAAGTGACCAGTACATATATGACATTAATGCCACCTGTGTAGACAGAACATAAAGTAGATGGGAATGGATCCCAAAGGTGGAAGCCTAGAATGAAGTGACACTCAGCAGAGTGGAGAATGACAAGCTTATAGTTGCAGAATAAGACAGAGAAAAAGGGGTCAGGCCAGTGGGAGTGGAACCAGGAGAAAGTTACATTGTAGAAACAAAGACAAGAGAGAATTTCAAGAACAGAGAAGAAAAGTTGTGTCAGATGAGGTCTGCCAAAGGTTTATTCCATGTGACAACCAGGCAGTGCTGTCGACCTTGAAAAGGACAGCTTCAAGGATATGCCATCAGGGTAGAGTGAGAGAGGAAGAAATGGAAATGGAGCACTGCGGGACATAATTTTCAGCCTGCTTTTTCAGGATGGCTGGCAGTGGGGGCCAGGAGCAAAACAGAATGGGGTGTGGTTGGTGGGGAGTATAACATTGGAAAAGAGTTTGCAATTTTTTAAAATACAAGAGATACTTGAGCCTGCTTAAATGCTGATTGAAAGGAGAAAATAGAGAAGGGGAGGTGAAAATACCAGTGAAAGAGGGAGCCATTGAGGGAGCAAAGAGAGAATGAGATCAAGACACCATCATCTAAGAAGTTATACTGCCACAGGGGAAGTTTTCAGAATTTTGGTTTTCAAAGTTGGATAGCTTCTTAATTGTATATTTTGGAAAAAAGTTATAAAATTCATATTAAGCTTCAGTAAGTTAAAGTGAAAAATGATCTTTCTGCTACTTAATTCATTAAAATAGTTAATTCCTAAATCTAATAACTTTTTTCCTATGATTTTACTCATTTCCATATTTTAGTGCACACTCAACATTTGTGGATCAGAGAAATTATTTGAGAGACTGGACTGAGAATCAGGATGGCAAATGTACAGTCATGGATGCGGCCAGTCCTGCCCCATGTGTCAGTGACTGACGTTAATAATCAGCCACTCTCTACCACCATATTCAGATGCAGTCTCAGTGTCCTTCTTAAAATGGCACTCTACTTGGTCATTTCCAAAGTTAGAATTTAAAATGTATGTACCACCCCTGATTAAGAGATTAATTGTCCACTTGGGGTCAAACTTCAGCTCAGAAGCAGTTAGGCTGTCCCTTACCACCATCTATGTGGATTGAGGGGCTTTTCGGTTGGACCAGACCCCCACTGTCCCAAACTCTGGAGGCCTGCACCTCAGATGTCTTCCTCACGCAGAGTTGACATGTTTTGTTGGTTTTAATCTGGTGTCCACCCTGGCCACACCCCTGACTCTTCCTTTGTGGACTGGTTTGTGGTCTTCCCTCTTGTGACATCTGATCCTGTCCCATTTCTAACTTGGCCTTCACTGTCACCTCCACACTGATAGCTAACGGCAGCTGTGCTCTGCCCCGTGGCTTCCAGGAGACATTTGGTCATGTGGACAGCTTGCTTGCACCTAGCTGCTTGTAGGTTCACCTTTTGTTCACTACACTGTCTGGTCAGGACTTCTTCCAAAGCAACAGAGGTCACACCACAATCCCTGCCTTGCCACCTTTTCCTGGAGAAATCTTTCCCCAGCTTCACCTGCCAATCCCTGTTTGTCCTTCGGGCTCAGTAAGACCTTCACTAATTTCTTCCACAAGGCTCCCCAACTGCTGATTCTGAGTTGGAAGTTCTTCTCTATGTCCTGCAGCATTCTAGCATCCCATCCTAGGCCAGAGCAAGTCTCATCTAGCATAGTGAGGGCTGCTTCTACTCTTCTCCTCAGTTAGATCGGAAGGCAGGACTGTGCGGATCTCCAGTCACACACAGCACTGGAGTGTGGTGGGTGGTAAGAGCCAGCTGTTGAGTGGAGGAATGTGGAAATGAGTGGATGCTGCAGTTAGTTTCCTTAAGTTTTTCTATGAACTTTCCTTTTTCCCTTTCCAAACCTTTCTGCTTATAGCTCTATAGTAAGACAGTATTGCTTGTTTGTTTTGTTTTATTGTGTTTATATTGTTTCTAACTTTCCTTTTAGGAAAAAGCCAAAAAGAAGAAAAGATGTCTTTGTATCTATGTTGTGCAACAGATGATAACCAACAGGAGAGGAGAGTGAACCACTGCAAGGATACAGTAAAACTTTACTCGTTCAGATGACAAAAATTTTGAATTTCTGAGACTGCAGAAGCATTCTCAATTCAGCAAGCTTTTTCTTTATAGTGCAAATTGTTTTTGTAAATAAGAGCGGGGAGACTGACTAAAATATTTAAAACAAATTCTGCACTTCTTAGCATTTCAAGAACACCAATGAATATTTAGGTATAGGCTAATTATATGTCATTTTTATCCATTCACTAAAATAAATATCACTCCTAACAACCTCTGGCAGTGCATCATTTGCAACATATACTCTATGTTTCCTATCAAGACACCCAAGGTCATCTATCTCCTAGCCACTGACCTTGAGCCGCTTTGTCTCCAGCCATTGAGCATTCTGAGCTTGATGAGATAATGGGTTTGCAGGACCCTAAATACACTGGGCCACTTCACACTTCCTAACTTTGGTCACATTCCCAGTGCCTGGAAGCCCTGACCAGCTTTCTTTAACTGAGGTCTGTGACTTCTCTTCCTGAGTTTTGTTTTTTCTGAATCTCTTGGTTGAATTTAATGTCTGTCTTTTTCCTTCCCAAATCTCCTTCTGCATAATAATTCTATCACTTGGCCTGGGACAGGATCTGGGTCCTGATCATTGCTGGAATCCTCAGCATCAAACCTTTTGCAGGCCAAGACACTCAGTATTGATTGAGATAGAATTGAACCCAATAGTGCCATTTGAAACAGTCTATACAATAAATGTTAACAAAAAAACAACATAATATTATTTTATAATTGAAACTGATCTTCAACCTTATTGGTCTGAATTAGAGAGATTGCCCTGTCCTAATAATATTGAACCTATCTACCTCACAGGCTTTCCATGATAATTCAATGGAACAACGTATATATATGAAAATAATTTATAGAGTACTAAACAAATGTGAAGTCATTATTTAAATTGTTATTACTGAACTAAAATTATATTAGTTATATAGTATTTTCTAATAGGATTATTTAAATTTAAGGCTCTTGTGAGCAAGAACATAGTCTATATTCTGTTATAATGAATATGATTTTAAACCAAATAATTTTACAAGCTATGTGAAGGGGAATGCTGCTCAAAGCAAGCAAACAAAACAGTCATGAAAAATTGCATGTGTGACGTGTCTTTCACTCATAAGAGTTTTTACTTCTGCTCTTGCTACCAAATGCTGCAAATGCCAGTGCCTTCCCCGAAACACATTTCAGAGTGACAGTTAATAAATACTAAATGGACTTGGGAAAATAAATCTTCATTCAGTTGTAGTAAATTACCTTCCTGGAATTTGTAAGTATCAGTAATATCCTTCATGCCATCTTCTCCAATTTGTTTGGTCACAATTAATTTTCCAATGTGAGTGGAATCCACTGCTTCCACCACGTGGGTGCCATCTTTCTTGGCTGTAATATAAACAAGATCGCTGTTGACCTGGAAACAGGAGAGAAAAGCATTAGCCATCACCACATGTCCTTGGTTGTTAAAATCTTTAACTCCCCATACTGTAGTCATCTAGAGATCCCTGGAGTTGGCATGCTCCTTTCTTCAACAGCATCGGATTTAATGAGCCAAACTGGTTTAAAAAATATTCTGAAGGGGAACCTAGTTTATATTACCCATCAGTATTTTAAATGAAGACTATTTGGTGCTGGGGCAATCAACTGTCTAAGCAGCAATTGTCTCTTTCTCCCCTTGTTCTTCCTAATAAATTCTACCTCCTAAGGGAGAGCTGACAACACCATGCCACCATGCCCATGGCTTGTGTTTCCAGACTTTGTTTAAGCTAGCAGTGGCTATACGACCTACTTCTAGGAAGAAGAGGAAGTCTACTAGGGGACTTCTGGGAAAGATTTTTTCCCCCTTACAAAAGGACAGAGGTACATGGGAGTGTTTGTCCTTTCTGCTTTCAAATGTTTTTATGCAAAGTGAAGTAATGCTTGAAACTGCTGTTGCCATTCTGGGACAGGGAACAGAAATGCTGCAACAATGAGTAGATGGCAGAGTAGAAAGAGGAGAGGTGTTTGGAGGCTTTTGAGGGCTTGATGTTGCTATCAAATGGCTAAGCCAACCTTGGAACCACCTACTTTAGGATTTCTTATGTGAGAAAAATAACCCCCCGATTGTTTTAGTTATACTAGTTCTGTTACTTGCAGCCAAAAGCATTTTAATTGAAAAATAATACTAGACTATCCAGGAGGAGTTTAGCCAATTTTCTGGTGGTTCTGCAACTAAAATGTGCCATCTGTGGAACTTGAAAATAGCATCTTGGGGCCATGCTGGCTGATGCCCAGCACTTACAAGGTTCTGCTCTACTATGTTACTTTCTAGAGACAATGTCTAATTTGTGTCTGAAAACGGATTCCCCCAGAGTCCTTTATTATATTTTTTACAAAGACTTTCTTGGGGGTTCCATTTATTAGCATGGAAGCAGGTAGAAAACATAAATTGTACTGCTAACAGTCTTTGATGTATTTGCTAAATGTTTCCCAAGTTCCTCTCCAGCTTCAATGCCCCCCTCTTTTTAAATGGAGTAATAATAACTCTTTCCTCACAGGACATTTGGCAGAATTAACTAAATGAATGCATGCAGATTACTTATCATAGTGCCTGGTCCAGACTAAATACTCAGTAAATGTTATTGATAATAATATATTGTTTAATCATATCTCAAGATATTGTTCAAAATTTTGAAGTCTTCATGATGAACAACATAGATTTGATCACTACCACTCTGAAGTTTATGCTCTAGTGAAGATGATTCTGTCATCAGAATCTCCAGGAGAACTTAAAAAATTAGATGCTTGATTAAGGAGGTCTTGGGTGAGACCCTAAATATTATATTTTTTAGAGGGTCTTAGATCATTCTGTTGGACACCCAGGAACCAGAACCCCTGAAAGACAGTATAGTAAGTGCCTGGAGAGGATAAGTTCAAGATGCTTTGGGAGTACATGGGGCACTGGGGTGGGGGTTGGCGAGGAAGTAACAGCCAAGTTGAAACCTGGAAGATGTGCAGGAGTTAGTGAACAGATAAATGAAGGGAAGGAAGGCTAGGCTAGGCAAAGGGACTGGCAGGCACAATGGTTCCAAAGAAAGTATTAGAGAGAGGCACTGGATTATCTTGGGCGTGTGCTTGGGCATATAAAGTCACGTTAACCTCTCTGAACTTCAGTTCCTGCTTCTATAATGTGAAGATAATTAGATTTGCTCTGCCAATTTCAAAGGAGCATTTTAGGTCAGTGTGAGATAAGATCCATGTAAACATAACTTGTAAATTTCAAAATTGAGTGAAAATGCATTGCTTATTTTTGAGTAATGGGGAAAATTGATGATATATCCCCAATTTTATGGTTAAGATTAAAGAGAGTAATTTTTATCTACTTTCCCACAGTGTTTTGAGTGTACGTGAAGTCTGATTTCTACTAAGGAGGAGATAGCCAACATTTGTTAAATGTCCACAGTGTTTTAGGAACATTTTATAAATGATTTGATCTGATCCTCACAAGAAGACTGTGAAGTATGTATTATTGTAACCATATTAAAGATGAGGGCACCAAAACTCAGAAGTGGGAAGAAAAGTGTTTGTGGTCACATGGTTAGGGGCTGGTGGAGAAGAGCAAACCCCGAGCTCGCCCACAGCCAGTACCCTTGACCTTCACAGCATACTGCCTCTTCCCCATCACACTGAACCTCTTCCCCATCACAGAACCTGAGCACCAGCTTGAGGTGGTGAGATGGTTCCATGCTTGGGGCTCAGGTTTTCAAGGGTAATAAATGACAGCCTTGCTCCTCAGCAGAGCAACCAGAACTCAGTGGTGCCAATCACATGGTGTGAAAGACTGAAATGTAAAATAAGGAATCAGGGCAGGAGAGGGCAGAGTAGATGCCCAAGGAATATTTATCCTTTTGGAGGGGAAAAAAGCTAAGAAAACTTTAAATGAATTGCCTGAGAACTCTGGCATTCCCTCTGGAGGAAGCCATGCAAACACAAACAGCTACCACCCTTACTTGCACATTATAGCAATAATAATGATAAATATCCTCTTAATAACAACACTCACAACAGGTTATGATTTCCCAGGGAGATAAGCTAAGTATGAAAGTGGCTTCCCTTGAGTATGGCTTTAAAACATTATGTAAGCTAAAATCTTGTCACCCCAACAGCACTGTCCCTTGTGGAGAGAGGAGAAGAGAAACACCCTAGTGAGATGGTTTTTGTATATGTATGTCAGGGGTGAGGTGTGGAGGGAAAGCATTTTTTCCAGGTGACATCAGCAAGTTTTCTTTTCGGTTTCCATCACTAGCATAATGGTTCTCCACCCTGGATACACGTGAGAATCACTGAGGGGCTTTAAAAAAGCACCAGCGATAGGCTTCACCCAAGATAAGTTAACACTCCATGGTAGAACAGTAGCTAAGTGCAGGGTACATGACAAGGAATATTGGACTTAGGCTGTGTGACTTTGAATGAGTTACTCAGTCTCTCTGAGCCTACCTTCCTCTGGGTTGATGGGTACTACTTGTGAAAGCGCTTTGTTTAAGGCTAATTTCTCTTCCTTCTTTTGAATGAAATGTAATCTTAGTAATCATCTAGTTCCATCCCTACAACTGAACAGTCTACAGTCATGCTGAACCTGGTCATCCACGCACGGAATCTGGTGCTCTTTTAACGACAACACATTCTGGCCTTTTAGACACAGGCACATCCTACATAGCCTCTACCATTATTCAGGACCTTGGAAGCTCAGTGGAGATGTGGGGGGCAGCAGACTCGGGGACCGCTCTCTGCAAATGCCCACTCATGCCCATAGAATGTAAACATCTGCCGGGCTCGGTGGCTCAGCCTGTAATCCCGCGCCTTTGGGAGGCTGAGGTGAGTGGATTGTCTGAGCCCGCGGGTTCGAGACGCCTAGGCAGCGAGACCTCATCTCTACAATAAATAAATAAATAAATAAATCAGCCGGGCATGGTAGCGCGCGCCTGTAGTTCCAGCTACTTGGGAGGCTGAGCGGAAGGATTGCCGGTGCCCAGCAGGTCGAGGCTGCGGTGGCCGGGAGCGGCCACTGCACTCCAGTCTGGGCGACAGAGTGAGACTCCAACTCAAAAAAAAAAAAAAAAAAGAATGTAAACATCTGTCCATGACTGGCAGAAGCTGTGCTCTTCACCACTGAGGATGGAGACGCACTGTTGATTTCAGGACTCTGGACAGAGCTTGCTTTGATTTGTTCCCAAGTGGTGATGACCTCATCTGCAAGCGCTAGCTCTCAGAGAAAATGCTGCTTCTGCGAGGACATGTGGAGGCAGCAAATGCCTGCCTGGGCCAGGCAGCCCTCTTGGCACCAGACCCTGCTCTCAGAAATGAGAATAAAACAGGCTCTACTTTCATAAAAGCTTATACTTTAGAAAGGAGAGAAAAAAATAAAGGCAGTATAGGAGGATAAAAGGGCAGATAGTGATCTTTTAAGTGGAGGGATGGGGTGTGTGAAGGCTCTCTTTGAGGAGATGCCAGGAGCAGGGACCTGAATGCCGAGAGGGAACAGAACATGCAAAGTGTTCTTCTACCATAGGAAGCCGAGTAGTGAGGGGAATTTTCTTGGCAAAAGAAACAGTGTGTCTAAAAACTCAGAAACAAGAATACGTATGGGTGCTTCTAGAAGAGCAAGAGGTCAGTATAGCTGGAGAGAAATGAGCAAGGAGTGAGCAAAGGAAGCTGGGGGCCAGGTCACATAGAATCTTGTAAACATTTATGTTCAGTTTTATTTTAAGGGTGATGGAAATCCATGTGAAGGTTTGGGACAGGGGCGTGATATGTTTTTATTTATCTTTCAAAAGATAAGTCTAGCTGATTTGTGGTGAATATACAAAAAAGGGGTAAGAGAGGGAGTGGAGAGATGAGTTAGGAGGCGACCTCATGGAGTTCAGCACTGTACAGAGCTCAGCGGGTAATGACGGAAACGGTTGGATTCAGGAATTTCTGAAGGTGTTTTTGGCAAGACACACGAGAAAAGTTAAGAAGAGAAGCAAAAATAATTGCTAAGTTTTACATATTATTTGAAAAAAAATGAATGAATTATATATTTAAATAGGAGATGCCAAAAAAATGGGCTACATCTCATAAGATAGCAGCGGAATAAACAGGTTTGAATTGAGAACAGAGAAACTGTAGGAAAACATCTGCACAGGTTGTCTACAGAGAAATGCTGGACCAGAGCTGAGGGAAGCATAGTTTCTGGGGCAATGGGATGCCTTCCTTGGTCCCTGGGAATCCACTGCTGCTGTGACAATCATCTCAGTGCCAGGAAAGTAAGGCAGAAGTGTATGAATGCACATGCATACATGTGTGTGGTACATATGTGTGTGATTGGTGGTGGAGTGCTGTTAAGGGAGCAAAAAAACCAATTAGAAGAAGTTAAGACAGAAGAGAATTATCTCCACTAGGAATAGAGTTCTCCACTAAGAACTGCTGAGAGCTTAGTGATTATGGGGTCTCGGAAGATGACTCCAGACACGTAAAGCTGCTCTGCCCTTTCCTGACCTCTTTGGAAGCACTCAGCCACCATGAATTGGGGAGAAAAGGCAGATGAGCCATCAGAACCAGAGGAGCCTGTTGCAGTGGTGAAGACATGAGAAATAGGCTTTAAGCCCTGGCAGAAATCTAGAAACATGGAGGGTAAATTTCCAAAATGGAGGAGGAGAGGAAAAGGGACAGAAGGCAGACGCTTTCCAGGCATACTCTTCTTGTAGGTTCTATTTTCACTCAAGGAGACCAAGGCCCCGGGAAAAAGAAAAAAGTCAATGAACATGATGCTTGATCTGGCCCAGAAATGAGTAGAGAATGACAGAGAAAATCAGTATGCTGAGAGGTAAGAGAAAGTAAACCCCTGCTGATGTACCTGGGTCGAGAGAGACAGGCTGACATAGCAAGGAGGAGGGAAGGGAAGAGAGCCCACAACTTCAGCCCTGAGTCACCTCGGCTCTCATTAAAATTACGTATGACACTCCCCATGGAATCCTACTTCAGGTACCCTTGAGAAAGGATTCCTTATACACTTTCCATCAGCTCAAACATCACTTATAAATGGCTCAGCCCTGGAGCTCAGCCCGTACCAAAGCAACAAATTGTGCCCTCTGTCAGGCACGCCTCTGCAGTGGGTGAGAAAGGAGTAATTATAATCTGCAAATCCTGATGACATTCATAACACCCCAATCTATATTTAATAATAGCAAAAAGCGTTTGCATTAACAGCTATTAGGCAGTTCACTTGTGAAGGGAGGTCCTTCCTCTCTCCTTCCTTGTGGCAATAATAAAAATAATAAAGCATAATAAAAAACTGAAACCAGGGCTTTTCAGATTTTAGAGTGATTTCTCTGTAAGAGGTACTCAGAGCATCATAAACCATCAGATGGCAGCTAGGAGGTTTGTATAAATCTTCAAATCCTAAAGTGAAATTGAGGGGATAAAATTCCAAGTCCAGTAAGCCTGGCCTCCTAAGGCTTTTAGAAACTGCCATGAGAGAAGCAACAGTCCTTTTGTGTATTTCAGATTCCCAGTTTTGCTGTTTGAATAGTGACACTTATTTTACTCTCTAAATGTTTCTCAGCCCTCCCACACTATTGCCATTTATCTGTTTATCTAGTTCAAACCCTTCCCATCTCTTGTGTGGAGGAATGACCCAGCCTTCTGGTTGATCTGGCACCTTCCTGACAATCTCATCCAGTCCATGTTCTGCAAGACTGCCAGCACACTACCCCTCCTCCAGTAATAACTCTCCCTGGCTTGCTTCGGGGAGAAGGGGCGAATCTCTCAGGGCATAAGGTCCCCTAGGCTGAGTTCCTTCAGCCCGCGGTCTTCTGACTTCCCTGAAGCAACCCTCATATTGCAGAGAGTCTACGCATATTTTAATTGCCCACACTAGCATTTGGATTGCTCAAGTCATTCCCGTCACCTCAGACTCCCTCCTTCCTCTGGCTTCTTTCTAATCCCTTTTGCCTAATCATTCCTCTTTCCTTGTGGTCCTGAAGTTCTCTGCTCCTATTACTGCCGTGATACTTCCCCAGGACATCCTTGCCATCTGTTCCCAGGTTGCCCTTCCTCCCTAGACGATGTCTTGTGGTCTTTGCTGTCCTACTTTGATTCCTGCTCCCATCTTTCAGTTCATGATTCTGTATGTATAAATGCAGATCTGTGTGTCTACACTGCCCATCTGACGATTAGTTCCATAACATTGTTCGTTTTTTCATTATTTCACTTGTAGTGTGTCCATGTCCTGTCACTCTTTGCCTCAATTTTCTTTTCTGCAAAATGGGAAGAATTATAATATCAATTTTAAAGGGTTGCTGAGAGCATCAAATGGCAGGCAAGGTGAGAAATGTTATTGCAGTGTACTTTTGGGGACAAATATACTCTGAAGGAGTCCTGCCTCTCAGTCTTTCACATACCTCTTCCCGGCAGCCTCCCAACCTTCTCCTTCACCTTACCCCTTTTGCATTTAATTTGTTCTTCAGAGCTCCCTTGGCGTACCCTTTCACAGCATCCTCTGCTTCCAGCCCTCACCTGGTTCTTCCAGAATTTCAGACCCCTCACACAAGCCATTCCCATCCATCCATTAGGTGGGCTACATTCCTCTATCAGAGCAGCCCCTACACTCCCCTCTGCTTTAGCAACTCGATTCTCCCTTTCTGACCAGGGTTTGATGACCTGGAATGGCAGGACATGGATTACATGGTCCAGAGTAAGACCACAGTTGGGGGTGTGTATTTTTTTTGACATGGATTGCTAGCTAGTCTCCGAGGGAAGTAGTCCTCTCTGAAATTACTACTCATGGACCATGTTCGCCAATGTTTAGCTGAGTGATCTAGTTAGTCATTTAGTTTATCTGGAGCAGTGGATACCAACTTCATGGGTGCACACAGCTATGCTAAGGTTAGTAAAGCATTTGCTTTTGGGGGAAAACATCTCAAAACATCGAGGAAAGAAAATTGTTAAATAAGAACTGCATTTAGTATTAAGAACCTAGAGGCTGGAATGATGCTTAGCTAACTCTGTAAGTATAAAGCATATGCCATATACCCAAGAGACTTAGAAGTAACAACCTTTGGCTTATTCTTTTACATGTTAAGAGACTGGAGGAAAAAAAATCCCAGCACTTTCCCCAGCCTCCTGCTTACCTCTGCATAGACAAAGGGCGCATCAAACTGGAAGCAGACGTGGCCATGCTTGATGGCTTGAACAGAGGCGGGGCCACACCGATACATGCCTGTGTCACACAGAGGAAGAAAAGTGTGAGCCTGTTGTCTCCAATTCTGTCCAGACTCTGGATAGTTCAGGGCATTGAGAGAGGTTCCATAGTGACCTGTATCTCAGCTTCATCATGGATCTAGACCAAACAATTTCTGTGGCTGGAGAGGACAGATGACCAATGTGTGGAACCAAGAGTGTTTCGTGGGAAATGCCATCTCACACTAAAGTTTGAAGCCATGAAAAGAGTATGACAATTCTATTTCTGCTTCTACTCTGCCATCAAGCAACACACACCCAGATGTATTTGTGCCAAGCGATTGGTTACACAAGTATTTATCCCTTTTTCAGCTGATATCTGAAATATTGGAAATGTTGATGTGTCCTTGGTGGTTTTATTGCTGTTGTTCTGATTTTTGCCTTTTTTTGACATTATGGACATATGTCAAGTTTTTGAACATTAACCACACATATTGGCCAATGCCCATCTTGCATTCCGGAAGGCCCATGTTACTTTTCTAAAATTCTTTGAATGTTAACCACCTACCCATCATTACTAAGAGATTAGCTGCCATTAGTCATCTTTAGGGTCTTCTTCTGATATATAATCCAGAACACCAGAAAGTTCTGAACTTTCTCCTTAAAACTACGAATATGCACAGAATGTGTATGCATCTATGTCTACATGAACACATCGGTATTTCACATCAGCACCTGAGGAAATAAGCATAATGTCCCCAATCCACTGATTTTTTTAAAATATTACCATATTAAAGAAAGATGGAGGCTTGTGATGTGATTTTATAAAAGTCTGGGGGAGGTCAGAGCTGCCACTGCTTCCCATAGTTGGCAAGTTAGAAGACAAATACCCACATACTCAAGTTTTAGAAGAAATCACACAACATAAAAAGAAATCAGGTTCTGGAAAAACAACAATTTAAAGGATGATCTGTAATTATTTTTTGTATTCTCAATTTCCTCTACTGCCTTATATCTTATCACTGTGTATCAAGGAGGGTTGAAGTATGTTTTATAGCCTAGTAAAAATGCTTACAGATATTTTTTCTCCTGTCTTCAAAACTGCTTATCAAAGCAAGAGCAGATGAATTATATACGTTGTTTTATCATCTTTTTCTAAATGTTGTAAAATAATCAGGATAAAATTGACTACTGAAATGAAATTGAACTTGATTGGCAGGTAGTTAATACTGTACCCATGCCCAGAGAGTACATTTCTGATGTTGTTTTCCAATGGGCGTGGTTTTCATACATCAAATACAATCACAAAAGCAAAATACAGATCAGCAGTGGAACAATTTTCCCAAGGGAGGAAGCAGTTTTACCATCACTATTTTCCTGGGGGGTGCTGTCCACAGCTTGCCAGCCTCCAAATCCAACAGGAAGGTCAGGCCTCGTCATCCATGCTTCATTCCAGCAATGGTAGTTCCTTAGAAGCACAACCCCAGAGAGGTTAAACTTCCTATTCCATTCTATGCTCCTAGAAATAAGAAAGTGTCCCCAAATCCTGTGCATATGCTGTCTACAGATTATCGAAATGGATTAAGTCATATTTAGGGGCTTCCAGAGATATCCTGGGGCTCCAGACTTGAGCATACTGGGCAGAAGCATTCTCCCTGGCATCCTGGTGGGCATGCACATGACTGGATTTTGCTCTTCCCCTGCTAAGATCAGTTGCAAGGTTACCCAGAGATATTTTAATCTGCACTTTAAACTGTTTTGATCTTAACCATTCTCTGCTGCCTAATGAAACAGAACTTACCATGGGCTGAGAGGGTAGAAAAGAAAAGTTAACTGCAATGGAAATATTTATCTTTTACTATTTTTAAATATAACTCTGATTTAGAAAAAGCATATTCCTTTGTAGCAATTGAGCAACAAATACTTGTGTTTATGGCCCTAGATCATTGCCATAGAAACTATAACATTAACTCTTGACTATGATTCTCTATAATTTGTGGCAAATTTCTCTTTGTTGTACAACAAGAACAATAGGTTGTCAGGGTGACTGTCCCTTTACCCTTTATCAAAGATGAGCAACCCAGTAGCTAAGGGCCATGCACAACTTCTCAGAACTTTGTGTATGGCTTTTGAAGCAAGAACATGGAATAAAATATCATAATGAATTGTATTATTATGTCCTTGGAAAGACCTGAAATTATATGACAGTACAGAATCAAATGAGAGCACATTAACCCCTTAGCACTATGAAAAGTGTTCATATAATCATAATAATTTAATAATGGGGTGAGGTAATTACAGCAGTCTTTGTTTATAGCAATGGTGAATTTCAGATCTAACAGCCATCAATCCTTTCTCTAGATGTCCTTCAGTGTCAGTAATCTGTGCTTGTTCCCATCTTTCTCTGAATGTAGCCCATCTCTGATGGACTCAGTTAAGAAATATTGATTTAACTATATCCCCACTATGCACCGGCACCTTGCTAGGAGATTCAAAGATAAATATGACATGGATTCTTGCCCATAAAGAGTCTTACAATCTAGAAGGAATGACAAACATGTAAGCCAATTACTGAAATAGGTCATAGGTTTGCTATGGAGCTTAAATAACCCACTCTGTGTAAAGTATTTAGAGCAGAGTTTGGCATGAAATAAGTGTTCAAAAAATGGTAACTCCAAGACTTTTCAAAATAATTTATTGAAGTGGTGCATACTAAAATGGAAATACACTTGGGGTGAAATGAGGTCTCAGTGAGGGAGAGTCTCAGGACATTCAGGAAGGCTTCCCAGAAGTGATACTTGAGCTGAGTCCTGATGATAAATGGAAGTTGAGCAGGCTGAAAAAAGGAGGAAGGACAAAGTTGTGGTGGCACGAAACAACCACCACAGTATGTCTGGGGAACTGTTTGCCATTTGCTGTGGCTGGAAGGTAGAATGCATGGATATTGGTGTGCATGAGAGAATGGTGATGGCAGGCAAGCCACAAAACTAACAAATACTCATCATGCCTTCTCTGTGCCAGGTACTGTTCTAAAACCTTTACGTGTATGAACTCATCTGATGTTCCCAGCTGTTCCCAGCACTCTAGGAGGATGGTACTATTATAATTATCCTCAGTTTACAAAGGAGGAAACTGAAGCACAGAGAAGTTAAGAACGGTGCCTGAGGTCACACAGTTAGTTAGTGATAGAGCTCTGAGGTCCATGCTCTTCAACACTTCAGCTATGATATAGGTGAGGATAAGATTGTGAGATCCTTTTATGCCGAATTCAATATGTGTACTTTATCTCTAGGCAGTAAAAAGCCATTGAAATGACTTAAGGAGAGTTAAATTTGCAAATCTGTGTTTGTGAAAGACTGGTGGAGGAGCAAAACTGGAGATTCAGTTGTATCTACAATGAACCAAAAAGGCATTCACTGCAGAGATGGCCATCACCACAGAGCAGAAGAAGAGCCATTGCGAGGTATAACGGGTAAGCTCAGGGAGATGTGAGGGACCTGGATGAGTTGAAGCAGTCTTTCAGATCTCCAGGGGGAATGATGGCTTTGTTTACCAAGACTCTGAATAAAGGAGGAACAGAAGCAAGTCTGTGTTGGGGCTGGTAGTAACAGGTGGATTACCAGCCCAGTTCTTGACAGGATGAGCTTGAATGCCTATGGGAAATTCAGGAGGAGAGATCCAAGAGGCATTTTTGTCTACACATGTGGCCCTCCAGATTGGATGAAGGGGAGGAGGAGGTCGCAGAAGTTTTGATGGGTTATGGGGAGGGTTAGGTAAAACCAGCTGGGGAGTGAATGAGAAGGGGAGAGAGGCAGTGAAGATTCTTCCTTAAGAGTGATCCAGGCTGTGAAGGGAGAAGAAAAGATAAGGCAGAGACTAGCACATCATGCAATGCAGGGAAGACCATTTTGATATTTTTATGTTAGGAAAGATTGAGGCACATTTATGAAGGAAGATCTAGTGGAGAGGGAATGGGAATAAAAGGGGGCTCAAACACCAAGAATGCAAGAGGATGAGGCCAAGGGCAGCACCGTGGACAGCTGTGGGAAGCGAGACAGGGTCGGCAGGTGGAGGGAGGTGCAAACGTAGATCACGGTGAATCCTGGTCTCCAAGGAATATGAAGGCTGTTCCCACCTGAGAGCCTCCATTTATGCTCAGAAGCTGGAAGAAAGATCACTGTGCAAACTGAACTTTGCTAGCCTCCTTTCAGAACAGCAAAGGTTGACCATCAGGCAGAAGGATCCAGGGAAAAACAGCAATGAAACATTTGCAATTCGGAATGGACCCCATCCTACTTCTTATACAACTGGAGTTTTTTTTAGCAACCCTGGCTTTCACTGCTGTACCACCGCCCCAGATTAATAGACTCCAGAATCACCCTATTTAAATTCAAATCTCCTTGGCAAGGTTAGCCTGGAACAAGATAAATATGCTTTGCACTTCAGATCTCAAGTGAAGACTTTCTTTGAGGATAATATTTCTTTTCAAATGACCAGGATCTGGGGAAGCATTTCTTTTCTCTCACTCTGACATCTAATTAGTTACACGTGATCTCTTCCAGTTTCACTCATGACTGAGCTGTTATCTGTGAATTTAGAGTGGGAGAGTTTCCCAACAGGGTCAGGAACTTGCAGGTAATGGGTGAGGTGGAGAGAAAGTGAACTCTCCCAGGGGGGCTTGGTCAACGGGTGGCAAGCTCAAGACTTGGCTCCCAGATTGGCCGTGAGCAGAGGGAGAGGATGCTACCTCCACAGCCATGGGGATCTCTTTCATTGTGCAATCCTCTCTGCTCAGGAATGGCCAAGGGAAATGTATTCTGGACCACCTGTACTCAGAGGGTTTCTTTTGGCTGATGTTGTGTAATTCTATTTATACATGCTCATTTTTTATATTCTAAGTTTCTTAATGGAAGAAAGGGAGGAGTAACTCGTGGGAGTCTTAACGGGTGATGGGAAGGGTTGAGTAGAATAAGTTGAGAAGTGAATGAGAAAGGGAGAGAATGTAGTTTCCTTAAAAGTGATCTAGGCTGTTATGGTTAAAAAAAGATAGGGCAGTGGCTAATACCTACAGACATTTATTTTCTTTGTTCTGTTTTTTGAGAAAGAGTCTCGTTGCATTGCCTAGGCTGGTCTCAAACTCTTGGGTTTTAACATTCTTCCCTCTTCAGCCTCTCAAGTTGGATTACAGGCATGCACCCCCATACCCAGCTCTGTTTTTGCTTGCTTTTAAACATGTATATGTATGGCTTACAGAGAAATTCAGTGGAAAGGGAAAAATAAATTGCTCTGGCTTTGACCCAGGTACTTAGTATTTTTGATGCATTTCATACATATGTTGGAGGATCTAAATATCATATCATTTTCTTTGAGGCGAAAACTTCCTTTAGCATTTCTTTTTAAAAAGAAATTTTTTTAGTTGTCACATAATAAATATATATATTTATGAGGTAAAAAAGTGATGATTGCATGTATGTATTCATGGTGAGGTGATTGAATCAAGCAAAAACATATCCATTACATTTTTTTTGTGGTGAGAATGTTTGAAATTTACTTTCTTAGCAATTTTGAAATCTATAGTACATTACCATTAACTATAGTCACCACATTATGCATTATGAGATCTCAAACACTTATTCTCCTCATATAGACTTTTCTTAATTTCATCCATTGACTCTCCTGGTCAAGAAATATCTGCTAATTCCTGAGCTGTTACTTTTTTATTTTAAAGATTCTTTACTTAGATACATAACAATCTTTCTGTTTTCATCTTGCAATTTCATCATATACTTGTAGAGTGCATGAATGCATTTTGGGGGCTCTGTCTTGTTCACCCCCATATCTCTAGCATTGGAGCCTGGCCAGCACTAATGGGCTAGGTCATTAGGAGATGCTCACTAAGTACTGGTTAAATAAATGATGAGGACATCTAGCAAGAGAGGTGTTATTAAACCATCGTTTATTTTTTTAAGGTTCACAATTTTATATTTTCTCAGAGCCTTCATTTGAAACATAAGTTCTCACTACACAATCAAAATGTACAGTGCTCCTTTAAATAAAAAAAAAATAAACCTCCAAAATGATCTAGTTTTCTTGTTCCTCTTTCTAAAGAGGCAGTGTATAGATGAAAATGCAGGCCCATTTCATTGAGAGCTGTTTAATTAAAATGAAAACAACTTTTGGGGGGGATAATGATGGAGATGACAAGTGAAGAACACATCTCTGTTTTATGTTACTTCCTGCATGTTCCATGCAATGACAGCTAGCATTTTTTAGAACACCTTTCAAGGATGCTAGTAATTCAACAGTATTAGTATCCAAGAATGTTTGCAGAAGGCAGGGCTTCACTAGAAAAAACAGCACTATGCCCTACCGGGGACCCTACCGGGGACATCAGACATTGGTTTAGTTTATGCTTTGATTCAGTAAACCCATTTGCTTTGAATTTGCCCACAGGAAATCACACAAATG